CCAAAAACCTCTCTTATGAGCCCCGAGCCAATTGGTGGAAATGAGCCATTCCTGTGACTTTACTGAAATAACCAAAGAGTATAGCCTTGATTATATATCAAATCCACTTGATCCTTGGATGTATAATAGTCATATTCTATGGCTTTATAGCAGCTCGAAAGCATGTAATGCCCTTAATTTAACACCCTAATTTTTTCACCTCAGAGTTCTCAATTGAACAATGTGCTCCGTTTTTTGTTCATCAATTGTGTTCACAAATATAAAACAAATATTCAAATGTCTGGATTTGTTACCAACGATAACTCTATTGAACCACGGGCAGCGCACGTAAATGTTCGACAGCCTTCTAATATCTCGCTTGCTCCTGGTGAAGGTTCATTCTGGTGTTGTGACACAGTTACATTCCTGTCAACCCCTTATCAGGGCCTACCTTATTACAGACCAATTCAGACCTTATTGGTCACCGCGTGCCCTTATAAATCTCAACGTTCATCCTGCAAAGTGCCATCACAAGCAAGAAGCACAAATAGGCGAACATTTGTCGCCCATACTGAAACGGCTGTATGCCGTATGGACCTAAAAACTAAATTTACCTGCACAAGAATACGGGGTAAACCATATGGGTTGACACGTATGCAGTTATCCACTTACAAGCATGCGTAATAGAGCAACAAGGGCGCTCATCTGTACAGTGTCCTTTCTACACGAGCAGTGGTGAGACCGAGGTGCCCCCTCCCCACAATGTGCAGCCTGCAGTAAGATGTCAGCGCTGAAGGAGGCCATTGTAATGGTAATGGTAGAGAGGTGATGGGTAACGCTTAGAAAGCAATGTCCATTTTATCCGGGTGGGAACAATCATTAGTTAGATTGATTAAGCCCCGGTAGCTGTATAGTTATGACAATAGCAGAGAAAAAGTGTCTCTCTGATCGAAAAAGCAACTGGCATGGAGCTCACATCATTATCCTCATCAGCCATGGTCAGTTTTCTGCTGGATGAAGGCCTCCGCAAACTCCTACCATCTTTTCGCAATCCTAAATTTAATAATCCACCTTAGCGCCTGCACACGCGCTGACATCATCACTCAATTCATTGCTCCATCTCCTCTCAGGAGTGGTGCTCATCTCAGTCGGGTTTACATACCACAAACCCATAATTGTTTAATCTCTTTATGTGATACAACTTTTTAAAAACTTATTTTACAATAACCAGATGGATGATAGGCTGAGTCGATCCCTCACCAGGATTTGAACTTCAAACAGGACTGTGAGCAATGTGCTTTCACCATGGCACTACCACCCAGGATATGATCATAATTATAATACTTATAATTTTTAATTTTATATAGCATTGGCGACCATGCAAATTGTATCTCACAATTGCTGAGAAACCACAGACAAGATGAAAGGCAGCCAGGAAGTGAACTGGCACCAACAATTGCCCAAGCTCTACAGTTCTCTACATATGAATATATTTTGTCTCAGCGAATTAATGAGTGATTTTACATTTGGGAGGAAACCAGGGCACCCTGAGCATAGCCACGCCTGTCAGGGTTTACGCAGAGAAAACCTATACAGATGATGGAACAGGTGGGGGTCCACGTTTCCTCCACGGTATCCTCCTGACAAGCTCGGGTATGGCACCTTGACGCCGATGGGAAGGGAGTTTCACGACATCTGTGTACACCACCAACCCTCGCCTAGGCAGTGCTGAATTACAGGCATGTGCCATCCCTGCCCTGGTTCATGAAACTAAATTGTATTATGAGCCGACCTCAAAATAAAGGCACTTCGAATGATTCACAAACATAGAGGTTTTCACAGCAAATCAGACACTGCTCTGCAGTTTCAAATTTGTGATGGGAATGAGTTCCTAATCCTCATTCCCATGACAGGTGCTTTTCTATTATTATTTGTTTTTCCATTGTCACTTCCCATTAGGTCGTTCTGTTCTGTTTGTGATTTTCGTGCCATTTGTCTTCCCATGTCGCAGTGTATATTTGGACTCAAAAATCACATTCTCTTAAATGTTTGCATTGCAGCACTTGTTACATTTCTATTTAAAGTGTCATACTGGCTTACGCTGCGTGTGTTTGGGTACTTGTGTGTGTGCTCGTGTGTCTATCATAGGTGATTGCTAACAGCACTTGACCCAACAGTCTGTTAATGGTTATACAGGGGGTCTTTGCGATGTGCAGTCGTGCAGCGGAGAATGGAGTGTGCTGTGAACCTGGCGACTCGTGTCAGATTTCCGCTCACGACCAATAACGCTGACGAATATCTCAACTGGTCCTGGGCCTCCTCTAGGTCGACTCAGCCTTAAATGAGTACCTGTTGTGGTATGTAAAAAACATGGCCATTTTGGAGACAAAGGCAGTCGAACGTGATGTTGACCACACACCCCTTCGTTCCTTGTGCCGGCCTTCATAGGTGCTACTCGCTAAGAACACTTGTGCTACGGTGTAGAGATGTTGTTAACTTCTTCGCCTGGTATACAGGACGTTGAATTGTTCGATCCCGACCCTGACGTCTGCTGTATATTTGGAGTTGTTCCCTCTCCCCGTAGTTGCGTGGATTTCCCTCTGGGTCTTCCGTTTTTTCCCCTCCACATTTATGATCGATGTGCGCTTAGATTAATTTGGCTGCTATAAATGTTCACGTGATAAGCCACTTTGTTGAGCTATCATTTATGGCCAGGTTGCTTCTGAAAGAGAGCTATATAAACTCAGTGGGCCTTACCTGCTAGAATAAAAATAGTTTAGTTCATCGTTTGATATGCTATATAGAGGATATTTTTTTACTTGTTGTTGTGTCTGTGTTTAATTTATGTTCTAGTATAGTCACTAGAACTGGGCAATTCGCATTATTCCTAACGTTGAATCGTGATTGCATAATTAAAATCGAATATGAGTTCCAGTAAGATTGTGGGATTGGAAGATTATTTAAATATGGGATGTCCGTTTTTAAGAAAATTGCTACAATTCTGGCCTGCTGGAATCAACCCTCGATAGCAGCCTGCCCTGCCTGTGACATAATTACCTGGAATATGCACTCAATGTCATCAGCTCTGGGAAGATAAGCTGTGTTGAGCCTGGATAATGTTTAGATGGGTGACCAACATATGCAAAACTATAAACTAAACGATTCTTATTATTTGAGCAGGTATAGCCCACTGAGATATACAGAAGCGACATGGCCACAAATCAAAGCTCAACGGAGTGGCTTACCGTGTGGACATTTATAGCAGCCAAATACTTTAAACGAATGTTTCTAAATGTGGAGGGAAAAACCGGAGGATTCGGATAAATATCCACGTGACCACGGGGAGAACATGCAAACTCCAAATCAGGGTCGGGATTGAACCCATGGGCCTCATGTATACTAGGCGAGGCAGTTAACATCTCGCCACCGCGGCACCCCTATTACAACCTATTACACGTGTCATAGGTTGTGTGGCCTACATTATGAACAATCATTAAAACACACACTGTTGCACTGTACTTGGATTCTCCCACGTCTATGCTCTTCACCTTCACCAACCTGCACTGGCCTTGTGTGTGAAGTATGATGACAAAAACCCTGCTACTAATATGGAGTTGAGAGACCTTTGTCTGGAAGTGGATTATAAATTGTTATTAAGGGATGCAAACCATCATTATTAACTAAACGCATTTATTAACAGAGAAAAAAGTATATTTGCATCGTGACATTTATTTAAAACATGTCTACGTTTTTAATATATAATAGAATATATTGCTTGCTTGCTGTTTTTAATAGTTTTGTGCAAATTCACATTTTGTACCCTTGCCCGAGTAGATCTCCCTGTATTTTCCACACGTTTCCCTTTTCAAATAAGACACAAGCTAACAGAGAGCTCGTGGGTGCCTGAAAATGTTGTTTGCTTTTCTTACCAACTAAACACGCTCATTATCAACCTTACCCAGACTCATGCCTGGAAAAGTGCACTTTACCTAGGTCAGTTACACTCGGCCTCAAGAGGAAAAGGAAGGTAAAACGTAATATATATTAGTAGAGGAAGAGCTGGGCTGATTACTTCATAATATTCATTCTACCTTAATGGTAGAGTGATAGCTGAGTCTTCATTTCCCCATTAACGTGGCTTGCGGAGAGAATTAAACAGAATCGTGAAGTTTTTCATTTCCTTATTTTCATCCCAATTATATTTGAATTGTGCAATCGGCGGCCTGCCACGAGATGAAGAAATGTCCCATCGGAATGCTCACAGCCAGCTGTGCATCATCTGGCCTTTGGGGACTCTGAAAAGGCATTGGACTCAGTGAAAATTGATGCATTCATTCAAGTTCTCGCAAACCGAGGCATGGAAAAAAAAATCATTTATGAAATAAAAACGATAAAACAATGGGACAGCTCCATTGATATGGCATGAAGAAAGTCCCAAAATAGATATTAGCAGGGGAGTCAGGCCAGGTGATAGCATTTCTCCAAGGTTATTCAGAGCGATAGTAGAATATGTTCATAGAAATTTGAACAAATAATTGGGCAATTCTGTGTTGACATTAGTGCAAAAGCATAATGAAACAAAATATTTGTTGTACTTTCAAAAATATATTTTTTTGAAATGTCACAGATTATGCATATTTTTCCATGTGAGACTCACACAGTGTTATTGATGGGTGTGTTGAGTTTTTCTGTTCACTGACATTCTATTGTCAAAGAAAAGTAGAAATCTAAATGGAGAAAACATCAATCATCTCAGATTTATTGACGATGTAGCAGTTAAAATACGCAAAAGGAGTGAACTAGACTAAACGATGACTAAATGATAACAAACAAAAAACCCAACAAGGAAGCCCCGAAAAGATGGCCTCAAGATAAACGTGGGAAAAACGAAAAAATAAGCAGAATAAATTTGCAACAAAATCATAAAAAAACCTTTTGCAGGTGATGAAACAGAAACATCTTCTGACTGAGAGAGATAACGCCGTGAACTCCTGTTCGGCGGGCGCCGTGCTGCCACTTACTGGAGGAGTCGTAACGCACGCCGTTGAAGCGCTCGGGACAAGGAGTTGCCACGGTGCGGCCGGCCTCGCTCTCTGGCCAGCACGTGCCGATCTCGTCGCGCGTCGCGTTGCACAGTGGGCCTGTACGCACGCGCACACACACACACACACAAAGATAAAGGTCCCCCGTGTAGCCTTAACAGACGTTTGGGGGCAAGTGCTGTTAGCGAGCACCGCTATGGTAAGCCACGTTAGTGCAGCGCCACGCACGGCCGACGTTGTCTCCCCAGGGGCGATGTTTTGTTACGCCGCATCAGGTATTCATTTGACGCTGAGTCGACCTTTGGGAGGCCCATGACCGGGTCAGATGATCGTCCCTGGTGTTTACCGTGAGCGCGGATCGAACTCGGGTGGCCGGGTTTGTGGCGCAGCGCGCTGACAGCTACACTACCGCTTCCCCAATGCACGGGCACACACACAAACAGGCAAGAGAATGCAACTTTCGACATACGCACATGCTTTTATCTCCTCACTGCTAATGTTTACGCACTATAGCAGGTACTTTTTTTGAAAGCTTGTGCTAACCTAGGGGAGGATAGGGACTGGTTCTGAAATCACTCGTCGCTGACCGTTCGCTGTGGGTGGGAACAGAACTCGCCAGGTTAATAGCACAGTGCACTAAAGATTTCGCCACAAGTCTACCCAGTAGATTATATATTAGATTTAAAATGGATATGATGACTATAACGCATGATATCCAAATACCTCAATCAGGCAATGATGACTCAATTAATTGTAAAAAAAAAGATGGTAATAACACTGATGAGAAGAACTACATACCCATGAGCATCTTGGTGTGCATCTATCAATTATTCACGAGGATAATCGATAACAGTTATGCAAATTTAAGATGGACCAACCAAGTGAGCAGGCAGGATTTAGGGAAGGTTTCTCTAACTATCGACAACACCGATCACTCAAATTCTAGAATAGATTAGTGGAGTTCCAATAGCCTCTGTAGACTGTGCAAATGCCTAAATAATAATCATGAATGTTTAGATGTAATAAAAACCCTTTCGAAACCTTGAACGAATGCACTGACACCATTTTAAGAGAGTAGGAAAATATTTGTAAACATCGGTAAGTCACCATGTACATTGCATCGCTCATCACGGGAGGTTTTCATCCAGAAGTGGATCAACCATGGCTGATGATGGATGTTTAACAAGTGCTACCTGCAATGAAGTTGAGCGCAATTGTGACAGCGTCTACAAGGCAGTGTAAATATTTGTTTTACAATACAGGCGCCCCTATGACGACAGTTCGTGGAACACCCCGGTTATGACATTAAAGTGCATGGGCTGTAGTTCCACATCCATAAAAAGGGTCATTATTGAATGGCAACTAGATTATTCTCTGCACAGCAGAATGGATGATTTGAGTTTTCACTCGGTGCTTAACTACTAAATTAATGCTCCCTGTTGGGGATTGATTACATGAAGTGCAACATTAAATGTTGTGTGTGTACAGCACTGGTGACTGGGCTGAGACAGCGCTATCAATCTCGCAGCTATATTTGTTTAAGTGGAACACAGGGACTAATATTCCACAACAGGCCATTGCGTTGTACTGCAAAATTTGCATGCTCGAGACCAGGTTCTTCGCGTTGATGGAAACAACAAAGTTGCAACTGATGGCACAAAATCCACACTACCCCATCCGTCATCATATGTTAAGTGGGCTTATTCTAGCTCTGAAAATGTTGCATTTTGATTTGGATAAGCATTTGTAACTGAGCATTTAGATTAAAAAAAATGTTGAAGTATATAAAATATGTGCCATGTAGTTTGAATAAAAGCCGAATGAAGTGACCTCGCAAGAAGTTATTCGATGTCATCTTCTGGGGCACATTCTCTGATCCACAGTTCTACGTTGCTCACCGAAATAGATTTTTACGTAAACTTCTTAGTCTCATGGCTCGGCCTGGTGGCTCGTAGTACAGCGAGGGGCTCACAGTCGGAGGCTGCAAGCTCAGATTCTGGTTGTGGGTCGACTCAGCCCGTCATCCCTATGGGGGTCAATAAAACAATGACCACTTTGTGGGGAAGCCAGTCGTGGTTGTCCAATGAAACGGCTCGCCCCTGCCACAGGAATGAGACATTTCCACCACTATATACTCTTAGTTTTTTCGGTAAAGTCACGTAGGTAAAAAATGAAATTAAAATGAATAAAAATAAAATAATAAAAATCACGACGTTTCGGAGGCAACACAAGTCTCCGTCATCAGGTGGGACCGTCACAGCTAAATTTGCTGTATCAAGTGGAACACCCCGGTTATGACATTGAGGCCCACTTGATACAGCAAATTTAGCTGTGACGGTCCCACCTGATGACGGAGACTTGTGTTGCCTCCGAAACGTCGTGATTTTTATTATTTTATTTTTATTCATTTTAATTTCATTTTTTACCTACGTGACTTTAGCGACAAAACTAAGAGTATGAATCCTTGCAGTCACGAAAGCTTCAAATCTAGAATTTCCACCACTGCTTCTCCAGGGGCTGTGAACAGGCGACGAGCACCGCCTTGATGCTCATTTGAACAACGATATCACGGACTTTAATTTGTACGTGACTTGAAACGCAGTCAGAACATAGTATATAAAACAACAAAAAAAGATTCGACACTCGTTTTAACTCGCTGTTATCCCAGTGGGAGCAAGGGAGCTGAAAGCACCTGAATAACTACACCTGTCAGGAGCTTATCCCTCTCTCCCCCCCCCCCCCCCTTGTTAAACTAGAAATGATAGCTCCCAAGCGATCCTTGCCACCACAGTTAATGTCAAGATAAAAGGGCGTCCGGTTCGCACGTTGTGACTCCGATATTTCACGCAGATGTGTTCATCGGCGTCTCTGGATCCCGAGTGTGGAATCTGTCAGTACGACCCAGATGTGGCTCTCGAAACAGGTGTATTCGTTATTGCTCTATATTTTTGTACGAGCACACGGCATTAATTAGTCCCCAAGTGATGACGAATTCAAACTAGCCTGCGGTTGTGACGTGCGTCACCACTCCCGTGCTACTGCGGTGGGGTTAGTGGATCGCAAAGAGATCCATGTGTGCATGGAACCCAGAACAGATGTTGACCATACTGTACCATTCACGTTTTGAGGCTGAGTTGACCTCGAGGAGGTCTAGGCCACGTTAATATAACAATGCCGTTATGATTGCAAACATATATACAAGACCCTATTGTGGAGTTCCCCAGAGCTCCCTCCCTTTGCACGGGTGGTTATGTACGGTGCGAAAAAAGTTCAACGTACATAGGCCCAGGCCCTTCCAGCAGCAGTGTGGCGAGCAAGCAGTTTGCAGGGCGGCGCCTTTATCTTTTTTTTCTAATTCAGTGGGCATTTCAAGTTTAAAGTTTCATTTATTAGGTATAGCCCTGCGAGCCATGCGGCTCTTGAGTCGGGTGCAACCGCAACAAACAAAATATGAATAGAGAACATCTTAAAGCGACGACGCGCAACAGAAACATCCTGGAATAAACCAGCAAATATTATAATAAAAAAAACACCGTATTACAACGCTGTGTGCAAAACTCCCAGTGTGATGCCAGTCAAACAATAACAACCATGGGATAATTTAGATTAAAGTTAGCAAATGTAACGTTACATATGTCCACTCTCCACCCAGTCTTATTTTACACGCATGAGCACACGTGTCTTGCTGAGTTGAACAGTGGAGGATCGCTCGGTTCACTACCAGAAAGCCCTCATCAGTAGGGGCGAGGGGGGGTAAACGTCGTCCTCAGATTGTAAATATTGTGGCTTTGCTCTCCAACACATCGGCGTGCTGTACTCGTAGCGAATTGGCTTGTTCTGTTTACGTGACAAACCTTACTAATTGGCTGTGTCGGGTGGTGGTGAGTTTAACGACACATTTATATATTTACGCGATCTAACCAAAAACACCTCTATGTTGATTTTTGTGTGCAAATTCTTTTGTCTAGGCGCCCTCCTCCTCTAACTCAGCTTAAATATACACTGCCAAGCTTGGTGGTGTTCATTCAGACGCTGTCTTTCCGACAGACCTGTTCTTCACCTGAGGACGGCTGCTTGCGTTGTGGCCGAAACGTCGTGAGAATTGTATTTTATTATGTTTTATTTTTATTATTGTATTATTTCCCTTCTACGTGACTTTACCGAAAGAACCAAGAAAATGAATCTCTGCAGTCACGAAAGCTTTAAATCGAAATTTAAAACCTCTATGTTGGCTGGGGGGGAGGGGGCTTGCCTCAGCTCATCATCCTTCTGAGGGCCAATAAAATAAGCACGCAGCTTTGTGGCAAGTCAACAGCGGTGGTCTTGCGGAGGGACTGACTTCCAGTACATTAAATCCGGAATTCCCATCACCGGCTCCAGGCCCAGCAGAGTAGATGACGACTGTGCAGCGCTCCTTTGAGGATGGAGTCACGTGGAACCATATTTTCTAAGCCTACTCCCCCTAAACCCCGCACTCCTCCCCCCCAAATATGGATCATTGTATTGCCTCCGAAAACCGACGTTTTATGTGACACGTTGACTTGAACATCGCAGCTTAACATGTCTAATCTCCGATATTGAGTGTCGGATCTCATCTGTGCGAAGACATGGGTGAGCGTCCCATCACTCCGTGTGCATCCACTCCGAGTCCTAATGGCATCCCCTTGCAAGCGGGCAATGGTGTCTAACGTTTTATGACATTTACAAGGGCAGCTCACGACCAAGTCGCCTCCCCAGAGATTGATTTACAGGATTAAAGGTCAAGGACGAGCCGTTCTCCCCCCCTCCCCACACCTCACGCACCCTGCATCCGTTCGCACTCGTGATATCTTTCAAAGTCTTTGATGAAAACCGATAGGAAATTCGCGCGGCATGAAAGATGGATTACCTGGGTCATATCATACATGAACTATACTTTTCAGCTTTTTAAGCATATAATATTACATTATATTCGTTCTAGAGTGAGTTTTTTTGTTTGTTTGTTACAAAAGCACAATGTTTAATGTAAATACAACATAAATACGATATTTTAGTGATATTAATTTCGTAATAAAATACCAGATAGAAAATATCACGTAGTTATTCTTAGTGACAAGCAT